TCTTCATTCCTCTCCCCCAGCCCCCAGGAGCCACCCTGCTGCTGCCTGTCTGTGAGTCTGACTAGTCTGCTATTTAATAGAAGTGGAATTGTATTGTGCTTGTCCTTTGGTGACCCACTTATTTCATTTCACATAATGTCCTCAGGGTTCATCCATGTTGTAACCTGTGTCAGAATTCCCTTTCTTTTAAAGACTGAATAATATTCCATTGTATGGATGGACCGCATTTTGCTTATCCATTCACCCATCTATGGTCACTTGGGTTGTTTCCACCTTTTGGCCATTGTGAATAGTACTGCTATGAACATAGGTGGTCAAATCCCTTCTTTCCATTATTTAGTGTGTATACTCAAAAGTGGAATTGCAGGATCATATCATAATTTTATGTTTAACTTTTTGAGGAAATACCATACAGTTTTTAATAGTGACTGCACCATTTTACCTTCTTGCCTTCTCCCCTCGAACAGGGGTCCCAGTTCCCCCACATCCTAGCTAACACTTGTTTGTTTGTTTGTGTTATAATAGCCCTCCTAATGCAGGGGTCCCCAATCTCCAGGTCATGGACCGGTGCTGGTCCGTGGCCTGTTAGGAACTGGGCCACTCAGCAGGAGGGGAGCGGTGGACAAGTGAGCAAAGCTTCATCTGTATTTACAGCCGCTCCCCATCACTTGCATTACCTCCTGAGCTCCACCTTTTGTCAGATCAGCAGCAGCAGTAGATTCTCATAGGAGTAGGAGCTCAAACACTACTGTGAACTGCAAATGCAAGGCATCTAGGTTGCATGCTCTCATGAGAATCTAATGCCTGATGATCTGAGGTGGAACTGAGGCAGTGATGCTAGCACTGGGGAGCGGCTGCAAATACAGATCATCATTAGCGGAGAGGTTTGACTGCACAGACACCATAATAAATCAACTGCTTGCAGACTCATATCAAAACCCTATCAGTGAGTGGCAAGTGACAATTAAGCTGCATCTTACAGAGTAGACTGGATATAAGCAACACACTTCGGGTGTCACTGTCTCCCATCACCCCCAGATGGGACCATCTAATTGTAGGACAACAAGCTAAGGGTTCCCACTGATTCTGCATTATGGTGAGTTGTATAATTATTTCATTATATATTACAATGTAATGATAATATAAATAAAGTGCATAATAAATGTAATGTGCTTGAATCATCCCCAAACCATCCCCCACCTCCCTGGTCCATGGAAAAATTGTCTTCCATGAAACCGGTCCCTGGTGCCAAAAAAGTTGGGGACCGCTGTCCTAATGGATATGAAGAGGCATTTCATTTGGTTTTTAAAGAGTTTTTTTAAATTAATTGATTTGTTTATTTTTATTTTTGGCTGCCTTGGGTCTTTGTTGCTGCACACAGGCTTTCTCTAGTTGCAGTGAGCAGGGGCTACTCTTTGTTGCAGTGCACAGGCTTCTCATTTTGATGGCTTCTCTCGTTGGCTTCTCTTGTTGCGGAGCACGGGCTCTAGGCACGCAGGCTTCAGTAGTTGTGGCTCGCAGGCTTAGTTGCTCTGCAGCATGTGGGATCTTCCCAGACCAGGGCTTGAACCTGTGTGTCCTGCATTGGAAGGCAGATTCTTAATAGCTGCACCACCAGAGAAGTCTCTCTCATTTGGTTCTGATTTGCATTTCCCTAATGATTAGTGATGTTGGGCACCTTTTCATGGCCATTTGTATGTCATCTTTGGAGAAACGCCTATTCCAGTCCTTTGTTTTTTAAACAAGTTGTTTGTTTTTTGTTGTTGAGTTGTAGGTGTTCCTTTTTTTAAATTTTTTTCTAAAATTTTATTTATCAATTTTTGGATATGCTGGGTCTTCGCTGCTGCACACGGGCTTTCTCTAGCTGTGGCGAGCAGGGGCTACTCTTCGTTGCAGTGTGTGGGCTTCTCATCGCAGTGGCTTCTTTTGTTGCAGCGCACAAGCTCTAGGCATGTGGGCATCAGTAGTTGCAGGGCACGGGCTTAGTTGCTCTGCGGCATGTGGGATCTTCCCGGACCAGGGATCAAACCCATGTCCCCTGCATTGGCAGGCAAATTCTTATCCACTGCGCCTCCAGGGAAGCCCCTGTAGGTGTTCTTTATGTGTTGTGGATGTTAACTCCTTATCAGATATATAGTTTGCAAATATTTACTCCATTTCTTGGGTTGCATTTCACTGTGTTAATAGTGTCCTTTGATGCACAAAGGTTTTACATTTTTATACAGTTCAGTTTATCTAATTTTTCTTTTGTTGACTGTGTTTTTGGCATCATATGCAAGAATCCAATGTCATGAAGCTTTCTCCTGTTTTCTTCTGTTAATGTATTTAACATATTAGAATAACAAGTCCTTTAAACTATCACTTTATAGATATTTTGTATTATTTTTAAAGTCTTAAATTTTAAGATATTAAGAATTTAAATATACTAGGTAAATAATAGGAGAGGTTTAGTATACCTCTTTTGGTTGGTACCCAAATGACTGATGTTTGGTAAATAGTGTGATAAGCTAAACTGCGTCCTTCTAAATATACCAATTGTGTTAAAGAAAAAAGTAATCATGACACTTGTTAGAGAATGATAAGGCAGACTTTATTCAGGGGGACCACTGTGACAGGTATAGTGACTAATGAAATGGGCTTTTGCAGGAGTGGAGAGAGATTGGGCTCAACTCTAAATACAAGGGAAAATGGTAACTTATAGCCAAGGAGCATGGCGGGATGGGGGAGTGGGGTCAGTGGATGGAAAATTTCTACGAGGAAACATCAGGGGTAAGGGGAGATTCTAGCTAAACTAACCTAGCAGCATTCTTGCTGAAAGCAGGCCACCATGACCAGACAACCCCTGGGGGTTGCTGGAGGATGAGAAGCCCAATCAGACACCAAGGCTGGGGGCTTCTGGCTAAGTTGCCTTAGCAAGATTCTTGCTGAAACTGGAAAATGCAGGGATGAACACGGGAGCCCAAAGGTCAGAGCCTAGTTGATAAGAGATTTCAGAGGAACCTGAGTAGAGTTTGGTCAAGGAGACCATCTGTCACTACTTCAGGGACTAAGCGTTTGTAACCCCATAACCCAATGGTTGGCTCAAGCATCTGAAAAAGCAGCCCTAGGTGCAAAGAACAGTGAAATTGAAACTGGACGACAAAGCAGGTCATTTAATCTCAACTGCAAGACACATACATGCAAAGTTTTTAAAGTAGAAGTAGTAATACAGGTCCACAGTAGTACTTTATTTTCAATTCTGAAATGCAAAAAGTTCTAAAACTTATAAGTTTCCCCCTAAGTTTGGAGCAAACTCATTGGAACTAACATAAGACTATAGCCTTTATATATCCCATTTCGGGTTAATATTTGTGAATATTCACACATTTTTGCTACAGAAATATTGTCTTTGATTATATGCTGTTCCAGACCCCGCTGAAGGTGTTTCATGCAGTATGCATACTGCCCTTTAGCACAGAATCCAAAAAATTTTGAACTCCAAAACATCTGGCCCCAAGGTCCCCCACCCCCATCTTTATTGAGCTATAACTGATATTTGTCATTTAAGTTTACTGTGTACAATGTAATGATCTGATATATGTATATACTGCAAAATGATTACTACAGTCAGGTAAGTTAACACATCCATCACATAGTTACATTTTGTGTGTGTGTGTGTTGTGAGAACTTTTAAAATCTACTCTCTGATCATCTTTCAAATATATAAAGAAAACAAGATTGCTAACTATAATCACTATGCTGTGTATTACACGCCCAGAACTTAATCACCTTGTAACTGGAAGGTCCCAAGGGTTTTTGATACAGGATTAACTAGTAGTCCTAGAAGTACTAGTAGTAGAATTGAGCACTTAGTTTGTGTCAGACATTGTTCTAAGCACTTTACATTTAATCCTCCCAATACCAGAAGAGTCATCATCTTTTATAAATGAGAAAACTGACGTGATTAGCTACTTAATTTGCTGAATACCCTGCAGAAAGTAGCCCAACTGAGTAGGGATTCATGCTTTTCACCACAACGGGTAAGGACAAGTCTTTGTGACAAAAGATGCCTCCAACCGAAGCAAAATGGTAAATTTACAGTGACTCAAATAACAGAGACAAGACAAGACGTCTGGAGATTGGTGGTCAGCTGGTTTGGGGTTGGTTCAGAAGCTCACATTGTTAGAGCCTGGATGCCTTCCTACTTTTCACTAAATTTCCAACCAGCTGCCCTCATGGTGATAAGAAGGCTGCAGCAGCTCCAGGGAGCTTCCACTGGCAACAACAGCAGGAAACAACTAAGCCCCCAACCATCCAGCCCCTTTTTTAAACAGTAAGGAACATCTGTCCCAGAGCCAGCCATGCCCCTAACAGACCCACTAGCCAATCACTGTCAAAGGACTGGCTTATACTAATTTTAGTTAACCAGAAAGGATCTCGGGCTCGGCGCTTTGGTGCAGAAGCCGGTGGGGCTCTGCGGTGGGGTACGGGGGCCGGCCGAGCCTGAGCACGCTCCAGCCTGGACAGGTCCCTCGGCTCCCTGAGATGAGGGCAGTGCAGCTCCGCACAGCACTGGGTCGGGGGTGCGATGCCCACGGTTTGGGGACTGCTCACAGAGGGAATCCCACCCCACGACGGCGCGGACAGCAAGGCCTCGGTTTCCCCTTCCGCACAGCCCAAAGGCCCCGGCAGCTCAGGCCTGTTGCCTCAGAGAAGCGGGTGCTCCCGGGGCCTCCAGACGAGAAGCTACAGTACAACGAGCAAACCCGGCAGGAGGCAACTGCGCGGTCTCGCAGCAACCGGGCGCCCACTCCCGCCCGGAAGTTGAAGCTGCATCCCCGGGACTACATCTCCCAGAGACGCCAGAGCTTCTCCCATGCTGATAAGGCCCGCTGCGCCTTCCATCAGCCAACCAGCCACAGGAAGACGGCCGCAGACTGAGCTCGGAGACCAATCACAAGAAAGGAGGCGGGCGCTCCTCCAGCCGGTCCAGGGTCTGTAGTCGAAACGTGACGAAACCCTAAGAGTAGGTTCTTTGGAGCCCCACGGCCGACTCAGTGATCGGAGAAGTGACGTTCAGCCCTCTTCCCGAATCAATGACCTGAGGCAAACGTCCCCTCGTCTCCTCAAGGCTCTGGCCTCCGCTTCTCCGGCCTGTCGCCTGGGCCCGCCGGGTCTCGAGGGTTCCTTGCGGCGCCCCGCCCCCAGCCCCTCATTGGCTCCCTCGGGGCACGTGAGCGAAGAGGGCGTGCTCGCGGCGGCGTGGTCCGGCGGCGGCACCTTGCAGCCTGTGGGGATGAGAGGCTGGGCGGCCTCGGGCCTGGGCCCGCATGGACCCCCTGGCGCTTGGCCGGTGGCGACGGCGGAGGCCAGAGGAGCTGCAGGTTCTGGGGGACGCGGTGAGTCCCCCGGGGTCTGGGCCTTAGGAACGGGAAGGCGGCGGCTCTCGGTGGGCCCCCACTGGGCCGCGCGTCTCCTGGCGCCCTGCCTAGGAGGAGGCCCGGCCGGAGCGGGGCACGCGCACCTGCTGGGGTGGAGCGTAGTGGGCGGGGCCGCCCCCTCAGACCGCGCCTGCGCAGAGATGCGAACCCGGGCGCTCAGGAGCATTGGTGACGTAGGGTCCCTCAGATGTGCGCGGGGCTCCCTGCAAGGTCTCGATGTCTAGGTCAGGGGGGTGTCCTGCGTTCTGCACGCCGCTGTTCCTAAGTCACGCCTGCACGTGCAGGCGCTGGACTGGGTGTGGTATGGGTGCCAGGTGAGTAGACACGCCAGTCCTTTGCTGTGAGAGAGCAGGGTAAGAGGTGATCAGTAAGGGGGGCCAGGGCCTAATCAAGCTGGGGTGGGTGGGTAATCGGGGCTGTGTGAGGCTTGAAGGGGAAACTGGGGGTAGGAAGCGCGTAGGCTTTTAGGGAACTGAAAGAAGTCCTGTGGGACTGGAGCAGGAGTGCAGGGCCTCTGAGCTGCGCTCTTGTCTAACACCTCTGCCTGCTAATTGCTGTTTCTCACTTCATCTCGTTTATTTCCTTCTAAGAGCAGGAAGGATCTGCCACCATACCGAGCTTCTTAATTGTTTGTCTGCTTCTTCTGGACCTACGGGCTCCATAAGCACGGGGTGTGCCTTCTGAGTTAATGCAGGCAACGTTTTTCTCAAATGTTTTGCACAGCATAGCAGGAGTGACGAGCTTTCTACTCTGCAGCATGTTTCCTCACCACCCCACTGCCTGACCACGAGCCAGTATCACTTATGTTCTGTCACAGTGGCGCCCCACTCCCTTGTGCCATATTACAGGGCATAGGTTAAGCTTCTGGAACAGAGGGACTTCAAACCGCATTGGCTCAAACCGGATGGAAGTTTGATTCTCCCGTACATTACAGTATGGAGGTGAGCCCAGGGCCGTGGAACACAGAGCCGCTAAATATAAGTATGGGACTGGTGGTACCCAGATCAAAGACATCCAGGGACCCAGTTTCCTTTTGTCCGTGGCTTCACCACTCCCTGGGTGTTGTCCTCCAGACAGTGGGAAGTAAATAGTAGAATGACACGATCATACTGACATTTAAAGAGCTAACTCTTTCCACAGAGCAGCTTTGTGGGAAATGTAAGGGATAATGGTCAGAGGGGTGGCCAGGAGTAAATAGATCGTGAGAGGCGTCAGAGGTGCAGACAGAGGGCAGTGAGATGGTGACAGTACACAGACTTGGCTGTATATTTTGGAGGAAGAACTGTCAGGTCTTGCTGGTGGAGTGGATGTGGGAGGAAATGTAAAGGGAGGAGTCCAGTTGACTCCCAGGGTTGTGACTTGAGCACCCAGATATGCAGTGGTGCCGTCATTGAGGAAAGATTGACGTGTGACTGCAGGAGAAAATGAGGAATTCCTGTTAGGCCACACTGAGTTGTGTGTCTTAGAGACATTTAGCAGAGATGTGGCAGATACCGGCAGTCCTTGAGCGGCTACCATGTGGGTTATCAGTTTCACAACAATCCGTTATTATACCCGTATTGCTAATGAGGAAACTCAGGTACAGAGAGGTTAATCAACTGGCCTAAGGGTACACAGCTAGCAAGTGGTGGCAGTAGGTCTTAAACCCCGCTGTCTGCCTCCAGAGCCTGTGTTCTTAACCACTGGGCTATACAGCTTCCCATGGGGGGCTTGTGGAACTAAAACATGGGACTTCAAAACGAAGTCCTAAATTGGCCGTAAAATGATGAAAAGTGTGACGCCATGGGCTGTCAGGGGTGGGGAGCCGGAGGTCACTATTGATCAGAGAGAACAGGAAGGGCTTAATGGAAGAGACCTTGAGTGATCTTTCAGACTGGAATTGCTGAAATTAAACGCCCAGGTTGAGGCTACAACACTTCCTGATTGTGACCAAAGAAGGATGAGGTGGTATCTTATTGCTGTGGTGTATATTGCCTCCTAATTTGATAAAGTTCTTGTTTATGTTGTATTGTGTCCTAGTCTTTGATCTAATAATCCAGATTGAGTTCAATTAAGTAGCCAAGCTCTTGTCCCAAGTTTTCCATTCTCCCTCTCACACACACACCCCGCCTTCAGAATTTGGTCACTCAGGAAGTGCAGCTCCTTTCCTACCTCTGTGACAGCCTAGTGGCCCTACACCCTGTGCGTTAAAACCAGCCGTGGAGTTAGGAGCTACAGCCACCAGGACCCATCTCTGGAATGAGTGAGTCTCATGAACCAGAGTCAGGTGCCTCTCCTGTAATCTTGTTAGTGTCCTGATCATGGTAAGGTTGACTAATGTGGTAACACGTGTAGCAGTTAAGTATCAGTAGTGTTTATCGTTTCCGTTGGGTAGCCGTTTTTTGAGCATCTATTGTGTATCAGGAACTGTTCTAGGCTCTGGAAGAAGAGACGTGAGGTCCTTGCCTAGGTTGACCCCGTGACTCGGGGCATCCAGTGCCTGGCTCCTTTCAGTCCCTGCCTACCACACTCACCATTCCTTTAAGAATAGAAGTTTCTGCCTAGAACACCTGAAGATTCATGTCTACTCAGCCTTTCATCTCCCTGAAGACTCTCCTTCCATAAAAGCTCTGTAAAGAGCAAGTTCTCTAGGCAGAGCATACCTGAGATGCCTGGGCTCACGTTGAATTGATATTTTTTTCTGGTTTAATCTGAGGTGATCCAAGATCCCTTTTCCCAGCTTTTGGTTCCTAGGGATAAGTGGCCATTTCCTGTGTTGTAATTTCTTTCCATTCTTTGTCACTGTCCTTTAGAAATAAAATAGAAGGATACATTAATTGATTGGCTATTACAGGGTTTTTTGCCTATCATTTTTCTTTCTTTTTATTTATTTTTTAACAACATTATTGGGGTATAACAAACTACAAGTACTTAAAGTGTACAATTTGGCTTTTTGGCTATTATAAATAATGCTTTTATGAACATGTTCAAGTTTTTGTATAGACATATATTTTTATTTCTCTTGGGTATATACCTAGTGGTGGAATTTCTGGGTCATATGGTAACTCTCTAACCATTTGAGGAACTGCTAAATTGTTTTCCAAAGTGGCTGCCACATTTTACATTCCCACCGGCAGTGTATGAGGGTTTCAGTTTCTCTGCATCATCACCAACACTTAATCTGCTTTCTAAATTGTAACCATTCTAAGTGGATATGAAGTAATACCTCTTTGTAGTTTTGATTTGCATTTTCTTGATAACTAATGATGTTGAGCATCTTTTCACGTGTTTCTTTGGCTATTTGTATATCTTCTTTGGAGAAATGTCTGTCAGATCCTTTGCGCATTTTTAAATTGGGTTGTCTTTTTATTATTAAGTTGTAATAGTTCTTTGTATATTTTAATACCAGTCCCTTATTGGATACATGATTTTCAAAATTATTCTATTTCATACCCCAGTATTTTTCCTAAAAGTCATAGTTTTAGCTTTTACATTTAGATCTACATTCCATTTCAAGTTAATTTTTATATATGGTGTGAGGTAAGGTTCCAACTTCATTCATTTGCGTGTAGGTATTAAGCTGTCCAAGCACCATTTGTTGAAAAGACTATTCTTTCCCCCCATTTAGTTGTCTTGGCACCTTTGCTGAAAACCAACCCACTGTAAATGTGAGGGTTTTTTCCTGGATTCTCAGTTCTGTTCCATTGATCAGTATGTCTGCCCTTATATCAGTACCATATTGTCTTGATTACTGTAGCTTTATAATAAGTTTTGAAACCTGGAAGTGAGAGTCCCCCAACTTTGTTCTTTTTCAACATCGTTTTTGCTATTCTGGGTTCCTTGAATTTCCATAGGAATTTTAGGATCAGCTTCTCAATTTCTGCAAAGAAGTCAGCTGGAATTCTGATAGGGATTGTATTGAATCTATAGATTAATTTGAGGAATATTATCTCTTAATATCGTAACAATATTAAGTCTCTGATCTATGTACATGTGATGTCTTTCTAAGTTTCACTGATTTTTCTCTATTGCTTTTCTGTTTACTTTGTCAATAATTTTCACTCTCATCTTCTTTATTTCCCTTTTTCTTCTCATGTTGGGTTCACTGGTTCTTTTGTTTCTTGTGACTGAAGGTGGATTCTGAGGTCACTAGGTGGAGGCCTTTCATGTTTTCTAACGTAGGCACTGACTGCTATACATTTCTTCTTTAGTGCATGTAATGTTTTGTTTTTTATTTTTTCAGTTCAAAATGCTTTATAATTTTCCAGTTGATTTTTTCTTTGATGCATTTGTTATTTAGAAGTGTGTTATTTAGTTTCCAGATATTTGGGGATTTTCTAGAGATCTTTGTTACTGCTTTCTAGTTTAATTCCACTGTGGTCCAAGAACATACGTGGTGTGACTTGAATCCTTTGAAGTTTACTGACACTTTTTTCTTTTTCTGAAAGTTAATTTAATTTAATTTTAAAATTTTATTGTAGTAAGAATGCTTAACATGAGATCTGTCCTCTTAACAAATCATAGGTGTACAGTCAGTTACTGTTGACTGTAGGTACAGTGTTGTGCAGCGGGTCTCTGCTGATGAATAGCTCTCCATTTCCTCCTCTCCACAGCCCCTGGTAGTTAGCATTCCAGTCTTCGTTTTGTGAATTTGACTATTTTAGATACCTCGTATAAATGGAATCATGCAGTACTCGTCTTTCATTATCTTGCATATTTTGCTTAGCATAATGTCCTCAATGCCCCTCCATGTTGTTGCATATTGCAAAATTTCCTTCTTTTTAAGGGCTGAATTTCCTTCTTTATAAGTAGTAATAATATATTATTACTATTTCTGCTTAAACAGTCATCTTTTAAAGAAGTTTCAGTAACAAGAGCAAAAACTTACTGTTTGCCCACAGAGTTACCATTTCCAGTGCACTTCATTCTTTTGTGTAGATTCGTATTTCCATCTGGTTTTATATTTTGGTTTTCTTCCT